TCCGGTAAGGTGACCGAGTACACTCCTAAAAAAAAAAAAAAAAGAAAAAAAACACGACCTACCGATTTCCCTCGCTCCGAACCATGCTACTCGGTGTCTCAAACAGACAGTTAGGGCAATACCAGCATACAATCTCCTCTGTTATACATCGGGGACACTTAATCTGATGGCAGTCCTCGCAGTATAGTAGTTGCTCCGGCGGGTACAAAGAAAAGTTGGACCGGGGAGATCGCGGGTCGAACGTGCGTTCATCTTCAAAGTCATAATCCTGAGGAACTGGAGCATTGGGGGCCTCCGGATTGGCCTTGTGGGAAGTCTCTCTTGATCTCCGCTTCCTGGCTGGGTCGGGAACAGGGGTGTCGGCACATGGACAGGAAATGTAGGCGTAAGGGAAAGGACGCGACATGTTGAGGAACTAAATTGAAGTACGTAAAGTCAAGCAAGTCATGCCCTACGCTTGTATGCATTAGCCTCGCAAATCCAAAGAAAAGCCATAGCGCGACCCGAAACAATTACCCCAATAGGGGAAGATACAAATGAGAATCTGTACATACGCCACCAAAAGATCCACAATGTCTTTACCAATAGGGTCAAGATTGTTTCTCACAGACACCCATAATAGTTTCAGATTCGTAATGATGGGCGCAAGCCCGCGGGGAAGGAAATGTTGACAACGCACGAAATGCGGAGTTGAATGGAATTTAATTCAGTTTGAAAGCTCCGCCGACGTCACGCCGCAAACTTCCCGCATTTTCAATCTCCGCCGCAACTTCTTCGACCTTACACCCCTCATAACCACATAACCGCAATGCTCCAGGTCCTCTAACTTACTCCAAAAGTGCAATTGAACCCCCGAGGCATAGCCATGTCTCTCCGCCACATCTTCCGTCCGGCGGTGTTTTCACCCCGGACATTCACATACAGAGCCACCAGAACCTACGCCAGCCAAACGCCCGGCAACCCCGTCCTGGAGATATTCAATCGCAAGGTAAAACATATACAGAAGGACCGCGCGGCCGGGAATGTTGAAGAGAGCCGGAAGACAGATTACCTCAAAGATGAGGTAGCCATGCGGCTATGCGAGCGGTTACTGGTGCGTCTTGACTGCTACATCCATATCAATATGAACTCCATGGTTAACGATATGGCATCTAGGATATAAAACGAGACATTCCGAATGTGCTCGACCTCGGTGCAAACAGCTGCAATATCGCTCGCGCCTTAACAACGCCCGACATCGACCCCGTCAACCCAAACTCACCTCCCCTCGCAACTCGCATCTCAAACCTCACCTGTGTCGACACCTCGCAAGCCCTTCTCCACCGTGATGCAGACGAGCCCTTCAACAAGGAGATTTCCATCAAGCGGGAGATTATCCCCGACCTCGAGAGCCTTCCTTACGAGGAGAACACGTTCGATGCCGTCCTGTCTTCCCTCTCCATTCACTGGATTAACGACCTGCCCTCGCTGCTAGCGCAAGTGAACTCTATTCTTAAGCCGGATTGTCCGTTTATTGCGGCTATGTTCGGCGGTGATACATTGTTCGAGCTCCGGACGTCATTGCAGCTGGCGGATATGGAGCGACGGGGTGGTGTGAGTCCGCATGTTTCACCACTGGCGGATGTGCGTGATGTAGGTGGATTGCTGAATAAGGCCGGGTTCAAGATGCTCACGGTTGATGTGGAGGACATCGTGGTGGAGTACCCGGATACGTTTGCTCTCATGCAGGACTTGCAGTCGATGGGCGAGAACAATGCTATCTTGCACCGGGAGTTGGGACCGATATCGCGTGATGTTTTGCTCGCCAATGAGGCGATCTACCGGGAACTGCACAAGGAAGAAGGGTCGAGAGGTATTCCCGCGACGTTCAGATTGATTTACATGATTGGGTGGAAAGAAGGAGAGGGACAAGCTCAGCCTCTGGCTAGGGGTAGTGGAGAGGTTAATTTGAAGGATCTTCTGGGCGGTGGTGATTTCTCTAATCGGTGATGAGATCGGGGGATTGTAAACTATATGTTGTTCAGTATGTAAACTATAAGGTTAGAATCTAGGATATTATCCCATTTGCGGGGGCAGAAAAGCGAAGGCAGCCAAGTATAAACACAGCACGAACGAAAAAAAAAAAACATTTGAAATCGACGATTTCTCAATCACCTATTTATCTATCCCCTTGTCTCTATCTCAAAACTAGAGCTCAGTCCGATCGAATTACACCGTCCTCCGGTCCGTCATCACACGCACGATGGACCCAGTGCCCGCCACCTCCACCAGTTTCTCATGCCAGCTCAACAGGACACTCATCTGCTGACCACCGCCACCTTCACCAAGGTTCCTGGCCTGAATCTGCGAGAATCCGGTGCTCTGCGGGGAGACCGATTTGCGAGGCGATTGCGCGCCGCCGCTAGGCCCAGGGGCCGCCATTCCCTTGTACCTAGTATAACAATCAGCACCCAGAGCCATCAAATAATGCCGTTCAGCATAAGAAAAAGGACATAAAAGCGAGAAAGAAAAACATACAAGTACTTCATCAAGCAGTCCGCCCGCTCGGAACCACCCTGTCCATTACAAACCCCCTCCAATACCCTCGTCATCTCGCCCTGTCGAATTCCCTGCAACACCTCGATAACGGTAGCCAAGTGCACCTCCTTTGCGCGGTCATCTCCGCCTAGCGGAGCCGTATCGAGGACAGCGCGCAGCGCTCCCTCGGGGTCACCACCGCGCAGTAGCTGGCGCACCTGGGCGGCGACGTTTGCGGCTTCGCTGGATGTGGTCGGGGCAGGGAGGGTAGGGGGAAGGAGGGTTTCCATGGGGAAGTTGACGGAGGACTCAGGGTCCAACACGTCGATGTTGATTGTGCGGTAGTTGAGTTGAGCCATGGCGGGTACTTTTGTTTGATCGGAGGGTGGTTCAGGAGGTTGAGTTGGCTCGGAGGTAATTAGTTTATAGTAGGGAGCTTTGTTTAATCTGCTGTGGTATAGCTAGAGATATGGCGGAGTGAGGCTGAGCCGGCAGCTTGTTTGTATGTTAGCTAGGTTCAATTCATGGTCAGGCACCGTCATTATCCAGTCCCACGTTAACGGAGCGGGGAGAAGAGGAGGGACAGACGGGACGTCTAGCAATTTGTTGCTCTCCCTGTCCAATGGAGAATAGAGGCAAGGTACACTGACTGTCTTCCTGGCTTATGCACAAGTCGAATTGGGCGCAGTGAAATGAGTAAGTCAAAGAGTTGAAGTTACAAACTATCGATGTCTTCGAGATGATGATGATGTGGGCGGCGGCGGTGCGGAGGTGGGCCTGGACGCCTCAGGCATAAACCTATGCTTAGTATACAGCATACCCAAGTATTCATCATTTCATATACACACCCGCCTGCGGTTTTGGTAACAAAGTTGCTTTGGTTACTTATTTGAAGAGTTCCTGCCGAAGATTATATACTGTATGCATCTTAAACAGTAGTACAGCGCCAGTTCTCTACCATCTGCCCACTATTGTCTCATATATATAACCGCAGCAGACAAGCATATCGTACTGAATGAAGGCATTTCTACAGTGATCGAAAATCCTAATGAGATAAGGAACTCAAGGCATGGTTTGAAAAGCAAGTGATAGATTCGAATAGGTTCAAGCTAACTATCTACATGGGAGTATCTGGTATATCTCAAAAATCATGGGCGCGCTAATCTATAAACCAACAAAAGTACAAAACGCCCGCTATGCAACATAAAAAGACATTATACCACCCAGCCATTGCATATGTATATACAATATCCATGCATGCGGTACATTCGTTAACTATTATACAGAGGAGCTGCTCTGTAGCAGCGAGGCAGAGCAGCGACAGTCATATCGTATGTTGAATTCGTCAAGAGGTTGTGATAGTAATCGGAGGCACTGTGACCGAAGTCGTTGGCGCCTCGGGGGTTTGCTGTCGTCTCAGATCCGTCAACACGGCAGTCTCTTCATCAGGTCTACCAATGTCTTCTTCCTGACGCTTGTTGAATACTCGCTTGGTAACCCGTTTAACAGGTCGCACAGCAGACTTGAGCATCCTTCCAACAAACCCAAAAGCCTTGCTGATAGGCCGCAAGATTAATGCTATGGTTCTGACGACAAAGTCGAGTGCGATCCCGAACGGCTTGTCAGGAATCAGGCGGAGAACCACAGCCCAGGGAAGACAACCGATCGCACAGATGATACAAACAGCCCACTGGATGCTGTTGAGAGGAGTCACGCCGAAAGCTTCACCGCCGACATAAACGATCATGACTTGGCCGCCAACCATGATACAATTTATTCCGAGGAACCAGTAGTTCTTCAACATTCCTTCGAAGATATTGAACTTGTTGTCAAGCCTTCGGTTGTTGAACTCATTGAAAATCTGCATCCACACGAAAGTGTTGAACACGATGGTGGCGAGCTCTTTCTGTCCATTATCGGCACTGAGATGATCCTTGAGAATGTGGCTTCCGGCAAAATATAGCATGAAAGTTATGGCCAGCTGGTAAACTGCCTGTCCGAGGATCATCTTCCACATGACCACAGTAAAAAGAGATGCACTCTTCGGGGCAGGCTTGCGATGGAGGATTTTCTCCGTCGGCGCATCAGTTGCAAGAGCGAGGGCTGCAAAGGTATCCATGATCAGGTTGACCCAAAGCAGCTGCACTGCGCTCAACACACTTTGGTTCTCATTGCTGTAGAGAGACGAAACAAAGGTTAGAACGACAGCAGTGATGTTGACCGTGATCTGGAACTGGAGGAATTTGGCCACGGCATCATTCACAGCTCTGCCCCATGCGATTGCTGTAATAATCGAACTGAAGTTATCGTCTAGTAGAATGATTGAGCTGGCTTCCTTGGCAACTTCTGTACCAGCGATACCCATGGAGAAGCCAACATCGGCAGTCTTCAGTGCAGGGCCATCGTTGGTACCGTCTCCAGTTACCGCCACAGTCTCTCCCAAGTGCTTCAGTCGTGCTACCAATATCCGCTTATCCTCGGGCGATGAGCGGGCCAGGACTTGAAGACGTGGAAGCACCTTGTCCATTTCATCATCCGACAGCTGGCGGAATCTGGGGCCTTCCATGACAATTCCATCTTCTGTCTTAATACCACAGGACGATGCGATGGCGGTGGCTGTTGCTATGTTGTCACCAGTGACCATCTTCACTTGCACACCGGCGGTGCGGCACTTCTCAATAGCTGCAGGAACTTCGGGTCTGAGAGGATCCTGGATACCCACAACGCCAATCCAGGTCATGCCACGGAAAAGATCTTCGAACTGAGCCATATCTGAATCATCCTCAGAGGGCTTGATATAGCTCGGAGGCCAGCTGGAAATGCTCGAAAAATCGCGATAGACCAGCCCGATCGTTCGTAGAGATTTGTTGGCATAGGATTCAATAGTGTTGAGTATCTCCCGACTGTCCTCCTGGGTGAACTGATCAACAGTGATGCCATTAGAGCCATCCGTATCAGCTATCTTCATCGAGCATGCTCCAGCCATAATCTCAGCGGCTCCCTTGACAAGAAGCCGATAGCCCACTGTAGGTTCCCGGTACACCACTCCCATACACTTGCGGGCGGAATCAAAGGGAATCAGTTGAACTATCTCCGCGGATCCACGTTCAG